GGGGGGGGGGGGGGGGGGGCTGTGGGGGGGGCCTTTGGGGGGGCCTTTGGGCGAGCCATTAGGCAAGCCGTTAGGTAAGCCGTTGAGCGAGCCGTTGAGCGAGCCGTTGAGCGAGCCGTTAGACAAGCCGTTGAGCGATCCGCGCTTCGCGCCGCACCGCGCCCACGACTTCCGCGCCTTCCTCTTCCGCAACTTCCGCGACTGCGGCTCGCTGCCGCAGTTCGCCGACGCGCTCGCGCGCGCGCAAACCACGCTCGCCGAACTCGGCGCCGCGAAAGAGTTGCACGGCGTCTTCAGCCACGAGTCGCCCGACTCGAGTCTCGCGCTCACGCGCCGCACCACGCCGCAGCGCCCCGTCGTCGAGCTCTCGCTCGACAAGCTCCGCCCGCAGGTCTCCTTTGCAGCGGAGCTCGACAAGAGCTACGCACCCTCGCTGAGCGCCAGCTTGCAACACACCGTGCTCGGCCGCCGCTCCTTTCGAGCCGAAGCGCGCGTCTGCGCGCAGCGCGCCGCGCTTCCCGCGCTGCTCTTGCGCGTCGCGCCGCTGTCCTTCGCCGCTCCGCGCGCGCGGTCCTCTGCCTTCGTCAGCGTCAACGAAGAGCTGAAACTCGTCACCGACCCCGAGCTGCGCAAGGCCTGCGCCGTTGGCTTCGAAGGCGCGCACGGCGCCGTCTCGCTCTGCAAGCTCGCCGGCGACCGCAACGCCTACCTGCAGCTCTCCGCCGGTAGCACGCAGCAGCGCGAGCGCGGCGACGCGCGGCTCGCGCTGCGCCACGCGCAGAAACTCGACGCGTTCGCGAACGTTCCGCTCACGCGGCCGCGCGCCGCCGCGCTACTGCTGCACTGCGCCGGCAGCCTGACGCTCCAGCGCGGCGCCTACTTCGCGAGCGCCTCCGGCTCGCTCTCGAGCTGCGCCGGCCGCTCGCTCTCCGCGCTGCCGCTCAACAGCTGCAGCGAGCGCTTCGTCTTCCCGAACATCCGCGGCTTCTCGTTGCCCGACAAGAAAGACTTCGCGAAGCACTCGCTGCTTGCCGGCGCCGCGGGCGCGGAAGCGAACGCCACCGCCGCCTTCGAGTTCGGCGTCGCGAGCCTGCGCGCGCTCGCGCCGCCGCACGCCGCGCAGCTCGCCGCCGCGCTCGCGCAGACCTCGTGTTTCGCGTTCTTCGACGCGTTCGCCGACCGCCGCCGCCGCCGCGCCGCGACCGCGGGCGTCGCGCTGCGCTTCGCGCCCACGTCCGCGCTGCGGCTCAGCCTCGGCGCCGCGCGGCCGCTGCGCGCCGACTGCGCGCTGCAGCCGAGCCGCTTCTTCTTTTCGCTGAGCGCCGAGTAGCGCCGATCAGAAAACGATCAAATTCCGCTCGATTAAATAGATTATTTGCAATAGTGTTGTTTTCCGCGCTGCCATGGCTCTCGGGTACCGTAAGTCTGCGCGCGCGCCAACGCAGTCCACGCCGCTGTGCTGCTGTTCCTGCTGTTTCTGTGCTGCTCGACTTCCGGGCTCGCGGTCTACTTTTGGTAAGTACGTGTCGCGGCGAGCAGGATCACCGTCTTGGCGCTCTACGCGCTGCTGTTGCTAGTCTGGCGCAGCCTGGCGCAGCTCGACGCAGAAAGCTGCGACCCGAACTTACAGTAAGTGCGAATTTCCGAAATTCAGAAATTGGCTGCAGAAGCAGCACCTGGCCTAAGTTTTCCTGCGGCGCGCGCATGGTCCCGCAACCGCCGCTCCTGGACCCCGCGCACGCCGACTCGTTTGTCGAGCGCCACCGCAGCTACTGTAACTGTCTAGTGCCCGCCTACGATTGCTGCCCGCTTTACGACACGAGCGCGGCAGACATCAAGCCCTGGGGCGACGCGCTCGAGGCGGTCTGCGTCGCGCGCTTCCCTCCCGGGCTCGCGAAACTGCTTCACAGCCGCTACGCGCACAAGCTGCGGCAGAGCTCGGACTCGAACGCGAGCGTCGACGCGCAGCCGTTTCTCGAGTACAGCGAGAGCGACTTCGCCGGACTCGGCGTGACTTTCGCGCCCTCGCCGCGCGAAGACTTCCGCGCGTTCGCCGTGAAAGTCGCGCTCTTTACGCCCGCAGAGCTCGAACTCTTGCGCGTTTGGCACCCGTACGTCGACTTCGAGCGCGCGCTCAGCGCCGACCGCAACGAGCTGCGGCTGTCCGCGCTTCTCACGCAGCTGCCCTTCCCGATCGACGTGTGCAAGTCCAAAGACCGCGAAAACCTGATCCTCGCGAACCGCGCCAGCCAGCTCATGCTCGTCTACTTCGAAGAAGACGAGGAACTCACGCTCGGCGTCTCGCTCCGCGAGGCCGGACACCAGTGCGCCGAAATGGAACGCATCGACCCAGCCTCCGGCGACCTCTGCAAGTACGACAAGCCGCGCTGCTGTTTCCTCTACCCGCATGGGCTTCTGCCGCCGCTCAAAAACGCGCGCGAAGAACGCCTGCGCACCGACCTTAAGTTGCCGCCCGAAGCCGTACACGGCACCGAGATCAGCATTCTGAGCATGCTCAAGCGCGGCCGCGAAGAGTGGGTCGAACTCGACGTCAACAGCCAACTCGAGGTCTTGATGCTGCAGGAAGCCGTCATGCCGAACTCCACCGTCGAAAACGCGCTCGAAGTCCTCTCAAACAAGGACAGCTTCATCACCAAGATCGTCTCGAAAGCCAGCGAGTTCGAACATCCCGCCGCCGACTTCAGCGACACGTGCTTCGACGACGAACCCGTCGCCGACTTCCGCGACCTCATGGAAGTCAAGCCCTACGCCGCCACGCAGAGGCGCTCCAAAGACAAAAAAAGCGTCAACGACGCCGCCGACCCGCTGCTCAACGCGCAACTCGAAAAGGAACTCAAAACGCTCGAGTCCGAGCAACAGGCCAAGCGCGCCAAGAAAATCATACAAATGGCCGAAACCGACATCGAACTTTCGATGATTAACATTAATTACTACGATAATTAATCTCTAACAACTCCACTTTTTTTATTATCCTAATACTAGCCCGAGTCAGGTGCAGGTGCGTCCGTTGACCGTTATTCCTCAAGAAATATTTTAGCATGTCGCACAACAACTACGTCCCTCTTGGCAGCGCCAGCCCAGCGCAACACAGCTCCACTATCCTCGACGAAGTTCGAAGTAAACTTCACGAATCAGAGGCGCGAAAATCTTTTCTAGAAGCCGCCGCCCACCGTGACGAACTACCCATTAAGGTCGCCGTCGACCCCGAGCTCATCAACCTCGAGGAAAACTTCGTCGACATCAACTCTCTCAGCGACGCCAAGCGCACACTCATGCGCCGCTCGATGCTCAGCGCCGACACCATCGAGAACATGAGCGAGAAGGAAGCGGTCCACTCCGCCACCAGGGCGAGTCTCATGTACCAGATTTTTCTCTTTGCACTGCTCTGCGTCGTCTCGAGCGTTACGGCGGTCATCGACGAATGGGTGCTGTTTGACCCCGTCAGCAAGCAGCGCCGCATTCTCTGCATCTCTACGATGAACTTCCTTGTCTCCTACTTCCTGTCTTCCGTAGTCTTCGCTGCCTACAGCTACATGCGCTACGGCATGGAGCAGATCTACAACCTCTTTAGCCTGAAGGCCAACCTCACGTACATGCCGATCGCAGTCGGGTTCGGCATCCAGGATCCGTGCAGCTTATACATGATCCGCGTCATGGGCTCTTCGCCCTGGAGGGTCATTGGCCAGAGCAAGATTGTCTTCTGCGCGCTCATCGGCCGCTTCATGCTCGGCACAAAGCTGTCCAACACGCAGTGGCTTATTTTGATTTGCTTGACCATGGCCGTGTGCTCTTCCATGGGTAACGACGTCGCCCAAATCGCGAACGTGCCCGTAAAGTTCATCCTCATGTCGCTCTCGGCCATCGCCGGCAGCACCACCGTCGGGCTCCTCTGCGAGAAGTACCTCAAGACTGACCGCTCGCCTTTCGTCGTACAGTACTGCCGCACGCGCATCGGCGGCTTCATCGTGTGCTTAATCATCACGCTGATCACTGCAAAGTACGAAGGCAAGCTGCATTTGTTCCCGCTCGGCGGTTACCAGACGAAGTACCTCGTCAGCGTGGCCAACCACTCGATCATGTGCTACGTGACCACGCTCGTCGTCAAACGCATTGACTCGCTTTGGAAGACGCTCGCCGGCTCCGTCGGCCTGCTCGGCACCTACATCTGCACGCTCATTGCGTTGCCGCAGCTGCACGTCTTCAACCCGCTGCGTTTCTTGATCCTGCTGAATATAGCCACCCAGATCCTCGCCTTCGCCAGTTCTACGCGCGACGAACATAAGATGCTGCAGCTCTACAAAGAATTCTACAGCCACGGCGCATCTGAAAGCAAGGTCTAGAGTCCGCGCTGCTGTGAGTTACAAGCAGGTGCGCTTCTGCTTTTTAGTTAAGTGTGTTTCGCACACGCGCAAATTTTTGGTCCGAGCGCCGCAATGTAGCGGTGCGCGGTTCGCACGCGGCTCACGAGATTGCTAGCGCTTGTCTCTGTTGCAAGACAATGCTTCTACAATTATTTTGTTTTATTTTCCGATGAATCGGCGCGATTCTCAGTACGAGTCGCTCTCGCAAAGCTCCTCAGCGAATGTAAACAGTGCCCAGAACGCAGCTCTCTCGAAAGTGGAGAAGCCTTCGAAGAGCAAGCTGGTCATTTTTCTTTGCTCTGTCGCGGCCATCTTGGCTTGCGAACTCTGTGAAGCGTACGCGTATGAAAAAACTGTCGACGGCCAGAAGCTGCCCTGGAAGCCCGAACTGCCGGGAATTCTCAGCAACGCCGCGACCACCGTCATCTGCTTCGCGCTGATTGCCGCATTTCACGAGAAGGGAATGCTGCGCAAAGCGGTGTACAACCAGACCACCTGGGCGCAGGCCATCATCGCCTCCGTCTACTGTTTCCAGCTGATAGTCATGGTCCTCATTAAGCAAAACATCGGCGCGCTCGCGTGGAACGTGCTAGCGCAGTTCAAGGTGATCGTAAACGCTGCGCTCGCGTGCATTTTTCTCAAGCGCTCTTACTCGCTGACCCAGTGGATCTTGCTCTTCGAAATCACTAGCAGCATCATTTGCTTTAGTCTCAGCAAGACCGACGGAGTGTTTACGTTAAACAACTACTTTCTCGAGCTGCTCGCGGTTTTCGCCATCCTCGTGACGGGCCTCAGCGCCATCGCGTCTGAGCACATCTTCCAGCGAGTCGAGCTGCCTCTCGTCGTCAACCTCGCCAGCTACTCGCTCATGTCGTTGATCGTGAACATCATCTACCTATGCTTTATCTGTCCGATGGTCATGCCGAACTTTCACATGTCAAATCTGTTCGACGGCTTTAACGGCTACTGCTTCACGATCGCGTGCACCATGGCCGCCAAAGGCTTTGTGTCGACGTATTTGATAGTCTACCTCGATGGCGTGTGGAAGAACTTGGCGTACTCTACGAACATGGTGTTCTTGATTTGGATCAGCAACTGGCTGTTCTCCATGCGGCTCCGGATGACGATCACGGTCAAGCTGCTCGGCGCTCTGATCACCTGCTCCATCATTGCATTCGGGCTGGCTTCGGAAGACCACAAGAAAATGCTGACACTACGCCAGCTAGCGAAAAGCTAAGTGCATGTAGACTGCCGCACTGTCCGCGGCGCCGTAAGCTCCACTCCTGCGAACTCTTTCGTCAATTTTTGAACAAAATTTGGCAAAGAACCAAACGGCTCGCAATGCTCGTACTGCTTATTGAGCCACTTAACAACTCTGTAATTGAACGCTTCGTCAACTTCCATGATGCATATTTTTTCATCGTTATTGCAACCTGCACACGCTGCATCGTAAAGGTGGTTGCCTTGCAGACAAGTAAATGTTGCCAGCTGCGCGGCGCCAGCATTGCGAATCGTAACTACTTTAGCAGCCCCCGCAAAAGCGAGATAGTACGACTGCAAATGCTGCAAAATGCGCATATCCAGTGTTTCAGCCACTTTTTGCAACGCGACACGCTTAGCTGTAGTAGCACGGATAAAGTCTTCAACACTCGCGTCGCTTGCAGCCAACCGCAGCTTTGTTTGATTTTGCGCTGCAGGCTTTAGCTGGCGCGAGGGTGCCGAGTTTTCTTTTGTGCTCCGAAACGCAGTCTCGAGCACGTTGCAGCCATCACTCAACGGCGTCTTGCGTTCAAACTCAGAATCTGTGTCGCTATCGCTCATCTCCGTTTCAGAATCAGCGGCGTAGGCCAGCCCAGCAAGAGTTTCATTCGTGTAGCTGCTTTCCTGTACCCGAATCGCACGCTGCGCTGCGTACTGCGAGTTGCCGCACTTCGCATGATCGCTTACGTTGCGGGGGTATCCGGTAAGCAGGACGCTCTGTTCGCTTCCGCGTATTCGATCCGCAAACAGCGCAAAAGCTACTCCGTCGCCGCAGCCCGCGCTAGTTCGCTGTAACACGGGATCGCAACCGTCATTCGCACCGCAGAGCTCGACTTCCAATTCGCTAGCTCGGTGACGCGTAGTTCTCGAATGCGTGGTCTCAACCGCTTCCTCATGCAAAGTGTCAGCGCGGATTGATTCGAAAGACTTGCTGCGCGGAAAATGCGCGTAACGGGGCAGGATTGCGCCGCTGGGTTCTGTGTTTAAATTTTTCTGCGCTACATTGCATGCTGCTTTATTAATGACGCATAGCTGCGCAGCCGCACTATGTTTTTCACTTTGTTCGTAATGGGTATCGCTTGCTTGTGAATCTGCGAGCTCGTCACGCATAACTATTCTTTCTCTAACTAATTCGCTCATCTCGCGTGTGTCTTCAGTGTGGGGCTCTCGCGATACGAGACTATTGTGATACTCTTGGAGCCGGTGCAGAGTCTCGCGAAACGCGAGCTGCTCTACGCAAACTTCTGTGGCCTCCGAGATTGACGCAATTTGCACCATAGCAAACTGCTCGCAAAACTCAAAAGCCTCTCCGCAGCTCTTTTCGGAATCACTTCTACAGCTGTGATCCGCGACGCCTGCTGATTGCAACGATTTCTCTGCCTGACTTGCTGACAGTTCCGCTAACGATTGTCTCTCGCGCAACTGCATCAGTATGGGCTCCGCATCTCTGTCTGAAGAACTAGGAAGGTTGTCGCCTGTTGCACAAAGCTGAAACGCATCGGCTAGATTCGCAGCGAGACATTCGCTTTTAATCATGCTTTCAGCCGCAGCGCTTCTTGCGTCGTTCGAGCGCTTCTCCAAGTTGCTCGAAAATGGCGAAGCACTCCGCTGTCCATCCGCCGCAACTGCGTAGCTACGGGGACTACTCAGCATGCATTGCGAACGTTCAGCGAAGACTGTTCGCAACCCAAAACTCGAGTTGCTTTGACAGCTGCCCGGAGCGAGTTCCTCAGGCCCGCTGCTTGCGTCACACTCAGATAACCGTGCGCTCGCTACAGTAACTGGTTGGGAGTCATAATTCTCGCAATCGACAGCAACGGATTGCAGTCTATCTCCGTGAGTCTGCTGCGAGTCGCCGTATGTTTCGCATCGACTGCGCACAATCTGCAAACACGGATGCGACCCAACGCTGACCTGCGCATCAACCTTCGCC